TGTAAAATTAATCTTTTTTTTCAAGTTTGATTATTTGATTATGGAATTAAGAATAATTCCATAATAATCTAAATAATCAGATTTGAAAGAGGTTAAATCAGCTGAATTAAATTATATAAAATTAATATAATTAATATGTAAAATAACTAAGGAATGCTTTAATATTTTTATACAAAACATTTACAGTAATTTCTTATTTGAAGTAACTGATTATAAGACAAAATATGATTGGCTGTGAATATATTTATTTATATAACATACTTTATTAATCAATGAAGAATAAATTTTATTATTAGTAAATTATATTACTGGTTTGCCTTGAGCACCAGATTAGTATCATTTTATTTTCAGTCATCTTTCATTATATTTATAGATTGCTTTCTCCCATGTTACATATCCAAAAATTTGTGATTTTAGGTTACATTAATCAAAATTACCTGGACACCTATATAAATTTGTATAGCCATATGTAGGGCGGAGGGTGTGACCATGTGACCTTTACCCTCTGACCTCACTTTGCTCCAACGAGGAGAGAGAGCTTTTCACTTTACATTAGTTAACCTTTTGGAGTTGACAGAAGTGACGATCTTGGATTTGTATTATATCTCGACACTATTGTAAATATCGCGTGCCCGATTCAAATAAAATAAATTATTCGCCTGGATCAATTTCTCAGTTAATCTTTGCCGACGAAGAAAGGATGCAGAACATTTGGTCAAGATCAATGTGGACATCACAGACAAGGTAGGACACAACCCAGACCAATTCCACCTAGCATCGAAACGTGCTGTGTACAGATTTTAGCCACGCTGCTAAACATGCATATAGATCAGTTCACTAGTTCAGAAGAGGTTAAAAAAAAATATGCAGATTACTCCAGAAATCTCATATGTAATAAATATTTGTAGAATAACATGTAAGTTTTCATGATTTCAAATGTGGTTCAAATCCATGAAAGAAATTTGTTCATGAGATTTCAGATATGCTGTATTTGGCACAGTTGACTATTGGTGGTGATATCATAAAGTGGAAATGTGTGGGAACTTTAATCATGAACCTAGTAGATTGTACCTGTTGACAGAGAGGAACTGCCAAATACTAAAGAGGGTTATACAAGAAAATTGCATGTCTCTTCAGGTGTTCTGAAAGTCTATAAAGTTGTAACATCATCATAATGACTATCAAGAGCTGTAGGCAATAGATATCTATAGATGTGTAAAGCATTATTTAAACTGATTTAATTGAAGCTCATGCTACTAGTAATGTGAAATCATTAAGATTTACTGTTATTCTACAAATATTTATTATGTATGAGGTTTCTGGAGTAATCTGCATATTTTTTTTTTGAACCTTTGAACAATGGCAAAATTTTTTATGGAGTGATGAATCATCCTACACATTTGGCAGTCAGATGAAACAAGTCTGGGTGCAGAGAATGTCAGATGAATGTTGCTTACTTGATTATATTGTCAAGTGTTAAGTTTGTGGAGAAAACATAATAGGGAAATGTGTGATGCTCTGGACAGGTCCAAACCTCTCACTAAAATTTGTGTTAAAATACCTTTTTGAAAGAAAGAAGATAGAAATAATTCTTCTGTATGAAAAATACAATGCAAACATATAAACAATAGAAAAATGTAAGTCCTAAAATCAACCAGCTCTGGTTGGGATCAAATAAAAAATTGATTTTGACCTCTTCCATAATCTAAGTTGAGATGTCATTATACTTAGCAACGAGCGACAGACCATTTAGAAAGTGAGAACTAGAAAAAGTGACCAATTCAGAATGGGTGATCTAGACAGAAAATAATAATAACCCTGAATTTCAAGGACATGATGACTTCTCCCAAAAATTCCATGTGTTGGAACATTTGTTGTGTTTGTGTTATGCCTAGCTTCATCTCTTTCCCTTCATCAGATTGACACCTTCCTGCCATTGGAAATTGACTGCATCATCTCAGAGCCTCAAGGTGTTTAAGGAATTTTCATTCCTGAACCATGGACCCTCCTTCATTTTGGACTGTTTTGGAAAGGAAGGTCTTCCTCTCTGGAAGATCCAGAGATCAACAGTGACTTTGAATTTCTAATATCACAGAAATATTGTAAGCTTCCTTTGTGTCAAATACAGTAAGAGCATCCTTAACACTGATTCAATATAATGTGGTCTGCTCAAAGCCTTAAAAAAGCTCAAAATTTATGCTGATTTAAATTATCGCAGCATTTCATTGATTCGTATATAATACGATTATTTGTGAACATAAACCAATCAGCAAAAGGTGGCAAAAAGGTGTACTTTCTTTAAATCTATGTTTATTTGGTGCAATTTTGGAAAAAAATAACATTATGGATGCCATAGGAAATATCGACTTTGCTTGGCAAGAATTAACTGATAAATGCACAAACGAAGTGTGGAAGAAGTTATGGCTGGAGGTATCCAAGAATTCTCAACGAGAAGAGCCTATCGCTGTATCATTTTGACCAAACTCAACCTAATCAATATAGCAGGACTAGGAGATATAGACGAGCAGGAAATTGAGGAGTTATAGCAGGTTTCTGGTGAGAGCCTTACCAATGATGACCTTCAAGAACTGGAAAAACAAGGAATTTATGTAGAACTGGAAAATAGAGAATCTTCAAAACAAAGAACCCCAAAAAATTTCTCTGCAGATTTCCTTAGTAAAAGTTTGGTAATGATAACTGAAATCATTGATCAAATTGTAGCAAATGATCCGGATTTTGAAAGGAGTGCAAAAGCAAAACGAGGTGTTTTGGATGCGATCTTCTGCTACTGACATTTGCTTAAGGAAAGAAAAAAGGGACAATTGAAACTTCATGACTTTATTGCAAAAGAACAAGAATTTTAGAAAAGTCAGGACCTTCATCACAAAAAATAAACTTAACACAAACATATGCATACAGAAATGTAATTTAATGTATATTATTATGCAAATTAATATAAAAGTAACTTAAAATTAAAGTAAAATTTGTTTACTTTTGGTTGTGTATTCCGCTATCCCTATTTACTCTGTTAAAATGACCTTGTTTAATACTGTTTTGTTTAGTGCTCTGCTGTCTAGGAACGCATCCCCTGCGTTAAGTGGGGTCTTACTGTACCTCATATATGGTTTCTTGTAATAAACCAAATGATCACTATAATTAATCAGGCTAATTAAGTGCTTATTATTAAATTAATTAGCCCAATTAATTATGATCATTTGGTTTATTATTTAATACATTGGGCTTAGTGATGTATTAATAGTAAACCAAATTAGTGGTGTTCATATATGGTGTCTTGTAACTGTCAAGTCTGTCTCAGTGCTGATTGCACACACATACTTGACCCTTCATCTATCTTGACTATTGTGACCCTATCAGCAATTTAACAAATGTTTTTCATGCTTTTCACTGGGCTTCTGGTTAACAATTATGGGGAAATTTAATATAATGCTTCTAATATTGGGCAGCAGTTTAGTGAAAGCTTATCCTTGTTTCATAATGGACCTGTCCATAAATCGTGGGCCATGCAGTTCCATTTGGTGAAATGAATGCCTAGGAACTTGATTAGTTTGCTCAGATCCCTGATCTCAACTCCATCAAATACCTTTGGGGTGAATTGGCATAGCAGCTTCAAGCTAGGCCCAACATCAGTGCATGAACTTGCCACTTCTCTTTTGAAAGAATGGGAACAAATACCTACCTACAACAGTGATTTTAAAGTTTAATGGAAAGCCTTCCAAGCAGACTGAAGGCTATAATAAAAGCAAAAAACAGACCCATATGTTTTTAATTTCTGTCCAGTTTAAGAAAAAATAAGATGCTAGGTGTTCTGATACTTTTGATCATAGTGCATTTTCTATTAAATATAAAATTTTAAATAAGTAATTAAAAATTCTAAAACACAAAATTTAATATCTTTCAGTTATTTCAGAAAGTTTAAACAATAAGTTTCAACTTAATGCAACTTTGTTAATGATACATTTCTTTGAGCTGGGACCTCACATTCTTGACTCATCTGCCTGTGCATTATTTTTTTGTTCTGTATCTGTATAATGCTCTTAAAGAAACTGGTCCAGGAGCTTGAAAAGCATTTAAAATGGTCCAGTTCATTAATATTAAAGGTTACTTATTTTATCACCTTTCAAATATATATTACCAAAGCACTTTTTTAATAATTCTTTTGATCTCAATTTGATTTTTCTTCTCTAGGTTAATGAAAAACATTTGAATGTCTTTATAAATAAGCCTTAATTAAATTTGCTAATTTTAAAGTTATTTAAATGTTAGTGACGTAATAGTTTTTACAACTAAGTGCAAAGCAATAAGGTTCATGAATTTATTTAAAATTTGAAACCTCCGATTTTAAATATAATGAAGAAAACCTTCCAAAAATGTTTGTGTTGGCATTAGTCTTTTTCAAAGTAAGGATTAAATGGCAGGTATTTTAACTAGAAGAATTAGTTTGAATTAGTAATTTTAATTTAAATCTCTACTTCTAGTGTTTTAAAAAATGCAGTTCCTTTTTAATTTCATTTATCTTATCTCTTCTAAAGCAATCGGCCAATCCAGGTGAACTATTATGATGAAATTCTAATTTTATTTCTGTAGATAATAATTTTTTGACCTTGTTTTATAGTTATGGATTATCTTCTTGTTAATTTTTATATGCTATTTTGTTAGTCATAAATTTTGCAGTTTGACAGTACCATAAAATTTAACAATTTGTAGCAATTATATATAACATTAATTCAGAAATGTGTTGAAACTATAGTTTTAATTCAAGATATTTAATCATTCTCTTCAAAAAAAAAAAAAAAATGAATATTTAGTTAAATATAATAATTAGCTGTGTCCTTCTGTAGTCAAACAGTATGGTGAATATCACCATTGCTTTCTAATTTATAATATAAATATAAAATATGAATGTAGCTAATTTTATTGATTATTACAAAGCAAATTATGTCATTTTTAGTTTTAAAAAAATTTTTTTTTTATTTTTTCAGATATTGCAAATTTTAATGAATTTATTTTGACTGGCTGAAAAGTGCCTATGGAATGAAGACAAGTTGATATTATTTTCAATTCGTCTATGCAAGTAGAAAAGTATAATTGAAACCATGATTAATGTGCATGGAATTCGTCGGAATGTCAAAAATGTTGTGCGGAACTACACGGAAGCGCAGATTAAAGTTCGTGAAGCTACTTCAAATGATCCTTGGGGTCCATCCAGTACTCTTATGAGTGAAATTGCAGATTTAACTTATAATGTAGTTGCCTTCTCAGAAATAATGCAAATGATATGGAAGAGGTTAAATGATCATGGAAAAAATTGGCGACATGTTTATAAAGCATTAGTTTTATTGGAATATTTGATTAAAACAGGCTCTGAAAAGGTAGTAGATAATTGTAAGATATTTTATATAATTTTAACCCTATTTTTATTGAGATTAATTAATTATGACAAAAATTTATTATTTCTTTGTGGTTTTAATTTCATTAAAATATTGTTAATTTTAAAACTTACAAATAATTTTATTAGGTTACTCAACAGTGCAAAGAAAATATATTTGCAATTCAAACACTCAAAGACTTTCAGCATATAGAAGATAATAAGGATCAAGGATTAAATGTTAGAGAAAAATCTAAACAATTAGTTTCGTTGCTAAAAGATGAAGAGCGTTTAAAAAATGAACGTGCTCGGGCATTAAAAGCTAAAGAAAGATTTGCCCAGGCAACTTCACATGTTGGGAGTGATTCTGTTGAAAAAGTAAGTTTTCTTGTAACCTATCTGACGGTGTAAAGTTTTAATTATCTGAGACAATTGAGAGCTGAAGTCAAATATAATTTTTAAATGGTTAATCATGTAGAAAATTTGACCTGAATTTTGATGATAATCAAATGATAAAGCCATATTTTCCTTATTGGAATTAGTTAGCAAAGTTAGTCTGATAATGATTCCAGCTTAATTTTGTAACAGATTATTACCATTTTAAATTACTTAAGATGTTAACTGAGTTTTCTAAAATATATGAGTTGAAATTTTGTTTTAATATTTTGTTTAGATATTCAATTAATCATTCTAGATGATGTTCACAGGGAAATTATTTAATAGTATATAAATTAGCTTCTCATTTTTATATTAAAGGATGATTTATGAACAAACAAACAAATGCACTCACAATGTTTTAAGCAGCAAAACTAATAATGAACATTTTCAATTTTATTAACATGTTGACTACCAATGATGAGTTAACTTGTAGGCTTTTTTTTTAACATGCCAACTTTGAGTTATAAGACCATCTTCAGGTTAAATAGACTTCTCTATCAAACATTACAAATTTATCAGTTAAGAATGCAAACAAAAGAATATAATTAAAGAATGGCTGACATTTCAAATTTAAACAAAAAATGAAATAATGTAACATAAGTAAATAAAATAACTAACATGCAAAATATGAACCAAAAAAGAAAAACATAAAACACATATAGATAAACTAGCTGTTACCCATGACTTCGCCCGTGGGGGTTTTGCAAGCAAACCCCATTTATATTCAGTATTTCAACAACCATAGTAATTGTTACATAACACCTACCACCGAGAATGATGAGAATTGCTGAGAATCAAACAAACTATTTTCAATTTGATCAATTTTCTGGAATGTTTGCAATCATTCTATAATCAAACCAATATGCAATAACAAATTTGAATTTAAAATGGTTCGAACATTTGGTTAAAAAATCAAAATATATAAAAATATTTATAATAGTGTCTGAAATGTTATCAATTTAATATAACTAAGTACTTGATGAAAACTAAATATAATTGAAAACAAAAAATTGCATCTAAAATAGTACAGTAGAAGCCGTTCTTCAGGTTAAGCCTTAATCCTCTCTCTCTCCTCGTGGGGAATTTCGAAAAATTCCTTCTTACTGTGTGTTTTCATGATGTGCCCCTAGCTGTATACAAAATTTCACCTTTAGGTTCAGTGGTTTGCTCTGGGTGATGATGAATCAGTCAGTCAGTCAGGACAAGTAATTTTATATATTTAGATAAATAAAAAAAAAATTAGAATAAAAAGTTACAAAATAATATAATCACCCAGATGTGTGATGAACAAAAGTAACAAATAATTGTAATAAAAAAGTCCTTGAAAATTACTAGGTGCCAATTTCATGCCCTCCAAGCTGTCAGAAGTGTGTTGTGATCTTTATACTTAATAGGACAACCTCAACACTTGCTTTATAAATTTTGAAGGTTTTGGTGTGTTGTTAGTGTGGGAAAAATCTACGATAACAGATAAAATATAATTTATTTTATCTAGATAATTTTTGGAATATTATCTTTTTATCTTCTATTTTAGAAACTGTCATAATTTTGTTTTTTTGTGTATGCATGTTTATAAGAAAATTTCTTTCATTTTCATAATTTCAGAAGTACAGGCAATTTTTGTTAGCATTGGAAGTAATCATTTAGTTTCCATGGGGGTGATTGGTATGTGAATATTTAATAGCTAGACAGCTATTTTCAAATTTAAATACATTTACCTTACTAGTGGGGACTTGATAAAAGTTTCAGCTTTTTCAAAATCTTTTTCAGTTAAAACAAAAAGCACAGTTTCAGGAAACAAAGTTTTTAGTGATGAACACAATTGCAAAACAAGATTTTTTGTGTACAACTGCTGACATTTGGACAGCCAACAACAAGAGCTACATGGGAGTTTACAAGCTTACAATACAATGTTCATTATATTGACTTAAATTCACTTGACCATAAATTATGTTTTTAAGCCTGTGATAAGTTCAAGTACAATCACACACGACAGAATTGCTAACTTTTATATCAAATTTTCTGTGACTTTTTAATTGATATAAGGAAAATAACTCATAAAGTAACCAACAATGCAAGTAACTTTGAAAACATGTTTGTGTTTTAGTATGCCTATTGAAGACAATATAACCTCAGAAGCTTCTAATTCAGATAGATACAAGTAACTGGGAAAATGCAGTTGATGGAAGTGATTTTAAAATGCTTCAAATCTTTTCAGTGGATGATGAGCATAGTTTTTTGCCAAAACAAATGAAATGTTTTTCTCGTGTATTAAACTTAATTGCCAGTAAAGATGTTAAAGATTTCTCTCTCATGTTGTGATTTGATATCAAACATCAAATTACAACATGAGACACAAATCTGCATTTAAGCTTCAGCATTATGAAATTTAGCAAGTTGAAACACAAGATGAAGTTGAAAGTATGTGTAACACAAAGTTCACTGTACCTTGTGAAATGTGCTGAAATTCCATCTACAATTTAGTCAAAACTTTTTTCTCAGGAAGCAAAACTATTTGAACTGTGATAAGCTCAGCCTTACACTTTACAGTTTACTTTACTACTGCTGATCTTGTTTTTTCTGAATACATTACAATCATAGAATCTATTGCAACTGCTGTTACTATGCTAAAAGGTGATTGTTATTTAGGTGTATCTTTACTGACAATATTGGTGGGTAAAAAACAATTAAAAAGTACACATTTACAAAAGCAATAGAAGTGTGAACCACTCATTAAAGCCTGGTTAAAAAGTGTAAATAAATATTTTTCTATCTTGGATTTCACAAATAATGAAACAGAATGGTTCATTTTGGTTACAATTAGACATTCCAAATTTTGGAATAATTACTTTCCAGCATAATATCAAGGAATGTACAAAGAAATAATTTTGAAAATGTAACACATGTTTAAAGCATATTTTGAGTATTTGAAGAAACATTGGCATAAGTGCATTGCAGTAGGAGAGGATTACTTAGAAGGGGATGAAATAAATTTTGATAAATAAATTCAAATCTTATGTTTATTGAACCATTTACGATACTTTCTGATCACAGGGTTATGTATGATATATTGACGTCCAATGTGATGCTAAAACAATAGGTTTCAAATTTATTCATATGAGAGGCATCCAACAAGAAAGTAGATATGACTCAGTAATTTCTGATGTATATTTAAGTTCTTTAGTAGTTAAATATGACATTGAATTTTTATGGTGTCCAACTAAATCAAATGATGAAATATTTATTATATGCTAATATTGTTATATTGGCTAATGAATTACAAAAAAGGAATTAACATCTTAAGAAAGATGACTGTTTTTCCAGAGTAAATTTTCAGTGATTGTGTATAAAAGTGATAAAACTTGTTTCAAGAAGGAAAACTGGTTTTTAGGAAAGAAAAAATTGAATGTTGTAAATACAGTGGTTGATCGTTTAACGAACAGATCGGTTAACGAACACTTTCACGAAAGATTTTTATGATCGGACAACGAACACATGTTCGGATAATGAACACTTGACTGAACAAACACAAAGAGACGTAAAATAACGAATACCGATTGGTCTTCCTTTGTCTTCAGGCAACAATTCAAAACTTTTTGGAGCGCGGGAGACGTCGACATCGACGTTCTACCCAGTATATACTGATAGGATAGTATTCTCCCGAACTTTGAAACTCTCCCTTGTAATTCCAGCTTTTTATATTTCTGACAGAAACAATTCTTTTACATTTTCTTATGAAAATGCAGATTTATGCCGATATCTGCTATTAAAGATCTTTTAAAGAAGTGGGAGGACATTGTTCTGACAGAACAACGGTCTTAAAATGGCATCCAAACCAGGTTGAGGTTAATAGGCCTAGGGTTCTCTACAATTACAATGCTATTAATTACTTCTGAAAAATCATAAAGAAGACAGAAAAGCAATAGACATTGGACAGATTCTTTAATTAATTAATTTACCCCCACAAACGGAAAAAACATGACTAATAAAAATGCAAGACCATGTATATATGTATTTTTATTATTACATATAAATAAACGTAATAAGAAAGTATAGTCTATATTTTTTTATTTTTTGGAGGTCTCGAGAACGAATTAATCAAATTCCCATAGAAACCTATGGTAAATCGATAATCGGTTAACGAACAATTTCGATAACGAACAAAGTCTTGGAACGGATTATGTTCGTTAACCGATCACCCACTGTAATTATAAATATCTAGGAATAAGATTGTCATTTAATGATAATCTAAGTGCTCATTTTAAGATACAAAAATTAAATATAGCATTTATCAAATTATAAACAGAATGTTATACTAGTCAAATCAATGATCACAAAGTTCATTTATGATGCTATGGTTAAATTTAATAAATTTAGTTCACAAGAATAGGATGCTAAAAATACATATGTTTTAGAAAGTGTGTAAATAAAGTTTTTGAAAATTATATTAAGATTAAGACCCCTTACAGCTAATTATACTGATACTGTTTTTTTGGGAAACAGGAAGATTACATTCGAAAGTTTTTCTTTTTAAATTGGTGTTAATCTGAAAACTAAATTATTGAAAATGGGAGACAATCAGATTTCTGTGATTGCTGTGAAAGAAATAAAAGAGACATTTTATTTCAATGAATACAGGAAGGTAGGTGGTTGAAAAGACTGAGTGATAAATATAATAGATTAGGGATTTTTAGTTAAAATGTTTTGATGCTGATGTTTAGCAATACAATAATCCTTTGATTTTGCAATGTATGTAAGAAATAGAAATTCAGTATTTGAATGCAAACATGTTAACTTCAATGTTCTTGGATGATTAAACATTATTTTTATCTCATCATATATATAATGTTTGATAGGAGAAAAATGATCATGAATTGATTGTTATTTCAAGAAAAGATTTCAAAGATTTCTTTATATGGTTATCAATCTGTGTATACAATATGTATAATTAAATCTATTTAACAATTGCATTGTACTGGAAGTTTTGACTTCAATTAATTGATACATATTTTCAGAAGAATTATAAGTTACATTATGTACTAAAGACAATGCTAATTTTATGATTACTTTTTTACTCTCTCAGTTTAATATTTGTAAAGTTTTTTCTTATACAATAGTTCCTTCTTTTAAATAACACAGAATAATGTCAAAGTAAACTTTTGATTGATTGAACAAAGTAATTATATAGTTAGAAGAATTTCTAGACAAATAGAATAATGTTAAATAAAATAGAAAATGTAGTGAATTTGAGAATTGAAGTAAACTTTGTGAAGGTAGTTTTACATATTTATTGAAAAGGATTGTGTTATAATGGTCAATTTAAAAAAGGATTGAAGAAAATTCAAAAATCCAGAGATGCTTTTGCAAAATAAATTTTGGAGAAAATGTAAATCTGAAATTTCAAAACTCATTAATAAATGAATTATATGATTTGTTGCTAAATAATTGTTATCTTATAATGAAGTTCAATATTTTTTTTATACATTTATACAATAAATTCAAAATTTTTAAGTTAGAAATCTTCTATATCTGAAATATTTTTTTAAAGGTTACATTTTATTTGAATTTTAAAGTCTTGAAACTAGGCAATTATAAACTTTAACATTTGGTACCATTAAAATTTTTCATAAATTGAAATATTATATAATATTAAGAATTACTAAAACAGTTGACTCAAAAATTTGGATTAAATTAATTTCAAGTCTTTGGTCTAAGATTTTATTTACTATTTTTATTTTTTGCTAGATAAAAGTTATATGGATTTCAAATATTAATTTTGAATATTTAATATAAAAATTTTCTTAGCTTGGTTCACCTGGATATTCTGATTCTCATGGTTCTTCACCTGATGGTGCTTCTCTTCAACGAGGTAGGTATTATAAAAACATAATTTTAGATCTGTAAATTAGTTAAAAACCACATTTCAAATTTATATCAGATTTGAAAAATTCACACAATATAAAACTTGTATGTCTTCTGAATTTTATCAAATATAAAAATTATAATTGTTGACACAGTATTTTCCTTTAATTTTTTTTATTCAGTTGTAAATTTTTACAATTGTTTATCTTCAGGTGCTTTACCATCAGAACTTGAATGTGCACGTCCACAGACTGCTGGTGAAGAAGAATTGCAACTTCAGTTAGCTTTAGCAATGAGTAAAGAAGAAGCTGAGCAAGAAGAACGATTACGTCGAAATGATGATCTAAGATTGCAAATGGCAATAACTGAAAGCCAAGAAGATTTTCGAAGAAATGCTCATGATAAACCTGGCACGCAGCAATCTGCTATGGATGATCTTCTTGGAATAAGTATAAGTGGAAATAATGCTGAGGGTAAAGGAGCAGTTGCAACTGATCCGTGGGGAATGCCACTGATGAAACCACCTCAGGTGAAAATTAATTTCTAGTTATTTTATAAATATAAAAAAGTATTTGCTTGTACTTTTAAATTTTTNGCATTTTCTATTAAATATAAAATTTTAAATAAGTAATTAAAAATTCTAAAACACAAAATTTAATATCTTTCAGTTATTTCAGAAAGTTTAAACAATAAGTTTCAACTTAATGCAACTTTGTTAATGATACATTTCTTTGAGCTGGGACCTCACATTCTTGACTCATCTGCCTGTGCATTATTTTTTTGTTCTGTATCTGTATAATGCTCTTAAAGAAACTGGTCCAGGAGCTTGAAAAGCATTTAAAATGGTCCAGTTCATTAATATTAAAGGTTACTTATTTTATCACCTTTCAAATATATATTACCAAAGCACTTTTTTAATAATTCTTTTGATCTCAATTTGATTTTTCTTCTCTAGGTTAATGAAAAACATTTGAATGTCTTTATAAATAAGCCTTAATTAAATTTGCTAATTTTAAAGTTATTTAAATGTTAGTGACGTAATAGTTTTTACAACTAAGTGCAAAGCAATAAGGTTCATGAATTTATTTAAAATTTGAAACCTCCGATTTTAAATATAATGAAGAAAACCTTCCAAAAATGTTTGTGTTGGCATTAGTCTTTTTCAAAGTAAGGATTAAATGGCAGGTATTTTAACTAGAAGAATTAGTTTGAATTAGTAATTTTAATTTAAATCTCTACTTCTAGTGTTTTAAAAAATGCAGTTCCTTTTTAATTTCATTTATCTTATCTCTTCTAAAGCAATCGGCCAATCCAGGTGAACTATTATGATGAAATTCTAATTTTATTTCTGTAGATAATAATTTTTTGACCTTGTTTTATAGTTATGGATTATCTTCTTGTTAATTTTTATATGCTATTTTGTTAGTCATAAATTTTGCAGTTTGACAGTACCATAAAATTTAACAATTTGTAGCAATTATATATAACATTAATTCAGAAATGTGTTGAAACTATAGTTTTAATTCAAGATATTTAATCATTCTCTTCAAAAAAAAAAAAAAAATGAATATTTAGTTAAATATAATAATTAGCTGTGTCCTTCTGTAGTCAAACAGTATGGTGAATATCACCATTGCTTTCTAATTTATAATATAAATATAAAATATGAATGTAGCTAATTTTATTGATTATTACAAAGCAAATTATGTCATTTTTAGTTTTAAAAAAAATTTTTTTTTATTTTTTCAGATATTGCAAATTTTAATGAATTTATTTTGACTGGCTGAAAAGTGCCTATGGAATGAAGACAAGTTGATATTATTTTCAATTCGTCTATGCAAGTAGAAAAGTATAATTGAAACCATGATTAATGTGCATGGAATTCGTCGGAATGTCAAAAATGTTGTGCGGAACTACACGGAAGCGCAGATTAAAGTTCGTGAAGCTACTTCAAATGATCCTTGGGGTCCATCCAGTACTCTTATGAGTGAAATTGCAGATTTAACTTATAATGTAGTTGCCTTCTCAGAAATAATGCAAATGATATGGAAGAGGTTAAATGATCATGGAAAAAATTGGCGACATGTTTATAAAGCATTAGTTTTATTGGAATATTTGATTAAAACAGGCTCTGAAAAGGTAGTAGATAATTGTAAGATATTTTATATAATTTTAACCCTATTTTTATTGAGATTAATTAATTATGACAAAAATTTATTATTTCTTTGTGGTTTTAATTTCATTAAAATATTGTTAATTTTAAAACTTACAAATAATTTTATTAGGTTACTCAACAGTGCAAAGAAAATATATTTGCAATTCAAACACTCAAAGACTTTCAGCATATAGAAGATAATAAGGATCAAGGATTAAATGTTAGAGAAAAATCTAAACAATTAGTTTCGTTGCTAAAAGATGAAGAGCGTTTAAAAAATGAACGTGCTCGGGCATTAAAAGCTAAAGAAAGATTTGCCCAGGCAACTTCACATGTTGGGAGTGATTCTGTTGAAAAAGTAAGTTTTCTTGTAACCTATCTGACGGTGTAAAGTTTTAATTATCTGAGACAATTGAGAGCTGAAGTCAAATATAATTTTTAAATGGTTAATCATGTAGAAAATTTGACCTGAATTTTGATGATAATCAAATGATAAAGCCATATTTTCCTTATTGGAATTAGTTAGCAAAGTTAGTCTGATAATGATTCCAGCTTAATTTTGTAACAGATTATTACCATTTTAAATTACTTAAGATGTTAACTGAGTTTTCTAAAATATATGAGTTGAAATTTTGTTTTAATATTTTGTTTAGATATTCAATTAATCATTCTAGATGATGTTCACAGGGAAATTATTTAATAGTATATAAATTAGCTTCTCATTTTTATATTAAAGGATGATTTATGAACAAACAAACAAATGCACTCACAATGTTTTAAGCAGCAAAACTAATAATGAACATTTTCAATTTTATTAACATGTTGACTACCAATGATGAGTTAACTTGTAGGCTTTTTTTTTAACATGCCAACTTTGAGTTATAAGACCATCTTCAGGTTAAATAGACTTCTCTATCAAACATTACAAATTTATCAGTTAAGAATGCAAACAAAAGAATATAATTAAAGAATGGCTGACATTTCAAATTTAAACAAAAAATGAAATAATGTAACATAAGTAAATAAAATAACTAACATGCAAAATATGAACCAAAAAAGAAAAACATAAAACACATATAGATAAACTAGCTGTTACCCATGACTTCGCCCGTGGGGGTTTTGCAAGCAAACCCCATTTATATTCAGTATTTCAACAACCATAGTAATTGTTACATAACACCTACCACCGAGAATGATGAGAATTGCTGAGAATCAAACAAACTATTTTCAATTTGATCAATTTTCTGGAATGTTTGCAATCATTCTNAGTCAGCAAATTTAAATTTCCATTAGTGCTGTGGTGCTGCAATCTTTGGCTATGTCTTGGGCTATTCCAATATTATTTTTGTTGGTGTGCATGTTTTAGCTGGCAACACTGGCACAATCATGAGAGGGTACTTAAGGATGTTCCAGAATTTGAACGAATTTCAACATGGGATAGGTTAATATATTTTTTTGTAAATAATTGGTTATCCAAAAAATTGATTTTCTGAACAGCCTCAGTCCCCAATTAATTTGGATAATCAATGCTCTACTGTATTTACTTATAGCTGATCAGATTATTAGTTAAAATGTGTAATTTTGTCTAAATGAAGTTTGTCTTGTTGGAACAATGCAATTCTTATATCTATTCTTCAAAAGAAAGAGTCTTGATTTATTGAATATATTCTTTAGACTTCAGACTGGTCCAGAAAATCTCCTTATCTGAATGCAATTGTAAATGTTCAGGAATGTGGACAGACTGAATGAAGTTGTCATCTCATCATGGGTGACAGTTCAGTAGTCCAGAATAACAGACTATACCAAGATATACTATTAAATGTAAAATAAACTAAATAAATATCTGAAGACAAAGTCCTCCCAAAAAAGGAACCACCATTTATTATCTTTGTATACTGGATTATATAATCTTGGCGACTGACCTTTCATTGTAGGCTGCTGGCCGCCAAAATAAACTGTCTGTAGTGTTAAAAATTACAATTGAAACAAGATGATGTGTTAATTATTGAAAGTGCTTGCAAGTAAAATCTTGTAAACAATAGTTCCTTACTTCAGTTATTTTGTTTAAGCTACTTAATTTATTAACACATCATTACAATAAGAGCATGACTATACTGTATATGATAGATGAATGCTTCATTAAATCTTACCAAAATAACTTTTAAACTGGGTAAGCTGAACCAACAAAAATTAATTGCTACAAGAACAAAAATGGCATTTTGTAATTAGGTGCTAGAAAGATAATTATAATTTATTCAACAGAGAATTAATTTTTGACACGTTAAAATGAGCAGCTGTTATCATTATTAGATGATGATGATATTTAAAAATAGGATTTTTAGTGGTGGATCAAATATATAAATTCTAGAATCATTTATAATGAAGATTGAGACGATTTATGTGTGATCAGGTGAGACATTAAATTAGCCTGATAAAAGGTGACTCCTTGAATTACATATCAGTTTTGTGTATAAGTATGGAGTCAACAAATATCAAAAAATTTAGAAGCATTCAGAAATTTATAATCTCAAAATTTTATTCTAAACTCAATTATTTTACAGGTAAATTAGCTATGTGAATTTGATAACTTTCTTAATAATTTCTAAACTGTGTTAAATATTGCATGTTTAATCTTTTGTTGTGTGACTACTAAATATTTCTTATTTTATTTCTCTCCTATTAATTATTAAATTAAATAATCCTTTTATAACAAAGGTTTACATAAAATATATATTATTTTTAAATAATATTTAATTAATGAGATTTTGAATAATTCATAACATTTTTGAAGTAAATAATTTACTAAAAATATTTGTTTATTATTAATGTTGTCCCAATTGGTGATAATGCTGATTTTGCTTACTCTAATAAAGTGGAAAATTTTTCTAAGAACATTTATTTTTACTGAGTTATTTTTATTGAAGCAAATGAATGCATCTGATAATTTTCTTTTATGACCATTTATTTATCTTGTTCCTAAAGCTTAGTTCACACTGAGCGAATAGCGAAAGCAAATGTGAAAAGCGAAAAGCAAATTTTATTCGCTTAGTGAAATTGACCCTACAACCAAAAGAGAAAAGTGATTGCGAATTTTAAGCAGCCAATCATTTGCAAGCAAGTGAAAATGTCATCTCGAAAAACAAAATGGCTGCTTCTGATATTCCATTATTAATCACATTTGTTTATTTATTAAGAAAGAAAAATAAGTCAAAAGAAAATGATGCTGGGTGAGAGAAATATTAAAATCCGTAATTACAACATATAATCTATTGCGTGAGAAAGTTTCTGTAGCCATCTTGAAAACAACAAGAACCGTGTAACTAGCAGGAATATGATTGGTGCAAAATTTTTTCGCTAGCAAAAAAGCTCGACAGTTCTGAACTTCGAAGTGATTCGTGCAATGGTAAAATTTGCCGGAAACGACGTCATGTCTGACGTGCTATTCACTGTTTTTTGCTTTCGCTAGCAAATCGCGCTCAGTGTGAACTAAGCTTAAGAATACGTTTTTGTATTAATGTAAGATTGCCTGTATTGCCTTTTTTCATATAAACTTAATATTTAATCTTGGTGATAAGGTAAATAATCTGGAAATTAATAATTTTATATTTAATTATAACTTTTTAGTCAGCAGATCCTTGGAATTCTACTTCTAATCGATCTGTGGAACCAAGTAATGATCCTTGGGATGAAACTGCAACATCAACTACAGTGGAAACACCAGTTCAAAATCGTGGTTAGTAAATACATTTTACAATTGCAAATATTTATAATAATTAAAAAAAAGTAAAATATTTAATGAGATATTTCGAAAGCTAAATTTTTACAAGTGATCAGGTAAAATTACAAGAATGCTTTATTTGATCTACTATCTGAATTAAAACTACAATCTTAAAATATGTACTAAATATAATTTTAATGTAATAATTCATTATACATTTGACTGTATTTACACACACAATGTGTGTGTAAATACAGTCAAACTTCAGGTTACAAATGCTCCTGTTTATGAACAATCTGTTTTCAAACAAGCTATTTGGCAGAGCCAGCCACCAATGGTCAACTTCTTGTACTTCCTATTAAACAGTTAAAGAAAGTTGATGGCCTGACCAATCAATGACACAGGACTACAGATTCAGTAGTCACGTTTAGTGTGGGACGCCGGAGGTATGACGTGGTCGTACCTCTTTTTGGTCAGCAACAGTTTGGTGAAAACTGCCCACTTGTCAGGGGATGGCTTGTTTGAGTTTCGATCCCGAGGGTCGGGATTCTTTTTGTCAGGTTGAGTGGAGGAGGCGAGAGGGGTTGTTGATGAGGTGTAGGCGATATGCAAGTAAATGACACCATTTAACAATGGAAACAATGGTTTATTAGATTAAACAAAAATTACCGATTACAAACTCTAACATTGAAAACCTTTAACTTGGTTTGCTAGCTACTAATTAGTGATGTGCCGGATTGTTAAAAATGTATATCCGCAGATACAGATACGGATCATTAATGTCTAGATCCACGGATACGGATCTCTACTTTCGTACTCAGTCGGCGCCGGTTCGTGTGACCTTGAACCGATAGTTGATGCTTTGCGTTAATAATGCGACGTGTTTTGACTTGCACTGCGCATGTTTTTGTTTATAGTGTAAAAGTGTGCTAAATTAGAATTCACCACAAAGGCAGACAGGATAAAGTAACAAAAGTTGATATAATTTTCCAATTAAGCTATTTCGCGTCTTTATAGTGTGAAAGTGTGATAAATTAGAATTCACCACAAAGGCAGACAGGATAAAGTAACAAAAGTTGATATAATTTTCCAATTAAGCTATTTCACGTCTTTATACAGATTCTATTTCAGGGTATTCCAACTTCACGGTGCAAACAGTAGCATGTGAAATTACAGCGATAATAATAGTTCGCTGTATCCAAAGCATGTGTACAATACAGATCCCGATTGCGACAATATACCCCGGAACCTTAAAACTAACCTTAAACACTAACTTAACACTAATAACAGAAAAAGGGATAGAATTAAGAAGACAGAAAAAATGGTAGATAAGTATAAGATAGAAATGGGGATATATGGGGTTTTGTCCCTTTTTTCGGCTTGTTTCTTTATGCGTACTATTGGGTGGGATAACACACGTCCTTCTCCTATAACTGGCCACTTCTCTTCTACAATAATTAGGATTTTTTCCTTTCACAGTCGTCAATACGACCTTAAAACATGATCTTTTTTCTGAACTTATTTCTGAACTATCCGGTCATTGAAAATATGACTCCCAGTATTCTCACCTCGTCCGTACACTCTGCCGTCCGGTTTACGAGTGACCTGCTACGTCACTTCTTTTTTTTCTCCGGCTCCTGCTTACACCTTTTTCTAGGAACTGCTCATCCCACCCAAGGGACAGGGAATAGATAAGAAAGTTCTAGAAGAAAATAGAATAGAACAAAGGGTAGAAAGAAGAAACGAAACTAAACTAAAATTAATATTTACAAAAATATAGCGTACCGCCACAATAATTTAGTGCAGTGTTTCCCAACCTTTTTTGTGCTATGCCCCACCTAAGCCTTTCTAAAATTCTGTTTCCCTAACATATACAGCGGCTATACGGTTAACTTAAACTCTGGACAAGTCCATTTTCGAATTGCCCTCCTTAGCAATCCAATTGCCCCCTGTGGGGCGTGGGCCCCACGTTGGGAAACACTGGTTTGTGGCTAGTGTGACACGGGATAGCGTAGATTACGTTTGTGTTTTTGGAGAGTGTTGAGTTAAATTAAAATAAAAACAATGTCGACAAAAAAATTTAGTAGTGTAATATGGAAATATTTTACGATAGTAAATGACGAATGTGCTATTGCTACCTATCTTTAAAATTTCATATAAGTAATGAAATTCATTAAGATAAAAGATCCGTTAAAGATCCGCTAAAAAGTAACGGATACGGATCTTTTTTTTCCCTCGGATATCCGCGGATACGGATACGGATATCCGGCACATCACTACTCCTAATACATGGAGAGAGAGTTTACATTGTTTCATACCTATAGAATAATTTCATGTAGAAGAAAATATTAGTCCTTTTTCTCATAGATCAAAGCACAAAGTTATAAAAATCCTTTGAGACTCGATCTCTTCTGACCAGCTGTAGATGAGAGACTCCCCCGAGGTGGGGAAAGAAGTGGCTTTTATAGCATCATGGTGGGAAAATTTGTCATGTGATCAACTATTGTAGGAGGTAAGGTTGTTTTAGCAGGTGTGGAGGTTAAAGTTGTTCTTGGGACCACCACAAAATGACGAATTTGGACTTTAATTGTAAACTTTAAGTCTTGCAGAGTGAGAATGCCATTGTTGGGGTTTTTGGATGTATAAATGTATACATTAAAGAGGAGAGTTATAAGTTTCTATTGTTGTTGATGAGATATTCAATTATTTTTTTCTGACGATGGGTTTTTCACGGTAAGGTGATAAATTTGTTTAAGAAGAAAGTGAAAATGAGGTTTGCACGTGGGTCGGATCTTTCACTAGATTTGTCTCATACCATTAGACGTCACAACACAAACTATTAATGACATTGTTAGTTTGTATCAAATTAAATTTCAATGTGCATGTGGGTAAGGTACTACTACCGGTTTTTGGTACGTGTCACAATTCAATTTAAATCAAATTAATTAATAAAAATTTCATTTACATTATGCAAATGATGACATTTGCATAATGTAAATGCCATCCAATAATTTGTATCTAAAGGTGCTTAACTCAAATTAAATAAAAATTTATTATTAAATATGTATATTTTTTGTTATTTCTCATTATTACATAATTGACATTTGGCATTATATTTAACAGTATTAATTAAATGCAAGAACTTTTAATGAACATCATTTAGAAAAACATGGGTATCTGTAAGCTGGAAAATAAAATTTAATCATCATACAAAAATATTATTAATTACTTCTCTGAATTTTCAGGAAAAATGAACAATAGCAAATTATTACTTTCATAAATTATGCATTTAACTCTAATTTTTGTTTTTACATTAAAGTATAAACCACAGTGCTAGAAACAAAAGAAATCTTACACCATGGTAAGTTGAAATTGAAACTAATGATGTCACTTGCATTAAACAGAAAATGTAAATTGCATGATCATTGTCCTACCATGCTTCAACCAGTGGTGTGCTGCATATCTTTAGTCGTGTGATTTTTCTCAAAGTTGTCCATCTATGCATGTGTAATCTGTGGAGCTGGCAGCACGGAATCAGTTTGCAGCAAACTGTTTTTTCACTTTAGCGATTTTTCTTGCAGTGTGTATTATTTCTTTTTTTTATTTTTTTATTCCATAAGCCACCATGGGACATAAGAAAGCTAGTGTAAGCATAAAGGTAAAAAGGAAAAAGAGTGAAAATAACAATAGAGGTGAAGAAAGAGATCGTATGGAGCATGAAAATGGCATTTGAATCTAGGATTTGGTTTTACAGTTCAACTTAGGAAATTAATTGATCTGTACAGTTCTCATGAACAAGGAAGTAATAAAGGATGCTAATGTTGCCAAAGGAGTGGCTATAATCACCAAGCAAAGATTGCAACCCTTAGAAGAAGTGGAAAAGTTGCTCTTGATTTGTATCAAAAGCAACTTTTGATATGCAGTTTGCCAGTGACAGTATTTCAAAGACTATAATTTGTGAGAAAGCAATGCTTTGCACCAAAAATTGCTCAAGAAAACCTCAGGTTCAAGTTCTGAGACTGATGTGTTTAAGGCTAGTTGATGCTGCTTTGAAAAGTTTAAGAAGCAAAATGGCATACACAGCATAGTTTGGCATAGAGAGGCTTCAAATGCAAACAAAAAAGATGCAGAAAAGTTTGAAATAATTTGGCTATTTGCTTGTGTGGACATAGTATGTAACCACAAAAGAAACTGTCACCACAATGAAACAAGCTTCAGACATTACCATGCATGGATGAAAAAGCCAAGTCTGATAGGAAAATAGGGTAGTGGAGTTTTTTAATTGTTAATGTTATGGACAATTTCCTCATGCATTCATGTTTGTTACACTTCAAATATAACAATACCACCATATCTGAAAATAAATAAGAAGAAATAAAAATTTTATTTAAGATGACATTTGTAAATTAGAAACATTTGCTGATGAAAGAATAGAGGATAGGGATTGCATAGCATGTATAATCTGTTTAGTAAAAGCCCAGAATATTTAGTACTTAGTTATATTGCACTTATAGTACTTTTAGTACTTGGTTATATAGCACTTATATTGCACTTATAGTACTTTTTCTTTGTCTCATGATAAGTGTGATATAATGAGGGACTAATGTATTTAAGTGATACAATAAGTAATGTATGGTAATTTCTCTTATACATACATGCATACATTCATACATACATGCATACATTCATACAAGAGAAATTAATTATATTAACAATTCAAATTTTGGTATATATACATATATAATTTTGGTGTGTATGTGTGTATATATACAGTATACACATACTCCGTTTGCGGCCCTCTTCTGTGGCTTGTCCTTTTTGATGATTTTATGAAACAAAATTTCGGTCAGCACGAAATTATAGCATATGCTGACGATGTGATTGTACTGTTTGGTGGTAGGTCGAGACGGGACTTAGAGCATAATGGAAACAAAATACTCAAACATTCTTAAATGGGGCAAAAGGTTTAACTAAACTTCAAAGCCAGTAAGACAAAGTGCATAATATTTAACAAACCAGGTCAACAAAACCTCTATTTAAGAGTCCCAACTATCAAGATGGAAGGGCAAACTGTTCATGTCGATAAATCCATCAAGTACCTTGGTGTGATCCTAGATTACCGACTCCTTTGGAATCCTCATGCTGAATATATTAATGACAGAATTGGTAAGATCTTTAATGCCTTTTCGAGCATTGCTCGCAATCGTTGGGGCCTAGCTGTGGAAGCCCAGGAGGTGATTTATAACCAGATTTTCTTACCAATCTGTACCTATGCATGTGGCAGTTGGGGCCATGACATTAATAAGACTCACATTAAGAGAAAATTCACCACTGCCCAGAGAAGAGCCCTTATACAGATTACAAAGGCGTATCACACAATCCCGAATACCACTAACCAGGTTTTGGCGAAAAGAGCACCAATTGACAAAGTAATCACTCTTTTCACTAGGATGTGGCAAATTAAATGGGGCAAAGACGTCCTTATTGGTGACATTTGCATCAGTTATGACGACATTGAACATAAAGTTAAGTTTGCAAATACTAGACACACACCCGGCAACTGAAAATAAAATCTACTTCGACAACCCTGTCCAGACCAATCTACACGGATGGATCAAAGGCAGATGGAAATGTGGGGTGCAGTTTTGTTGCTTATAGTGACAAACAAGAAATTGACATAGGCCAATTCCGACTTGGCAGCAACTGTACAGTTTTTCAAGCAGAGCTCTTTGCCATAAGTAAAGCAGTTGACTGGGTTAATTGTCATTACAATAATGAAAGCATAAATATCATCTCTGACAGTGCTTCTACACTAGCCCTTCTAAAGACCAAAACCTATAACCCCATCGCAGTTGCTATTCAGGATGCAATCAAAACTTCAAATTGTGAATTTTATTTAAACTGGACAAGAGCGCACATGGGCACACTTGGCAACGAGAGGGCAGATTCTCTTGCTAAGGAGGCCTCTTCCAATCAAGACCTTTCTTATTCATATAATAAACTGAATAATAAAACAGTCAAAAGTCTGCTCTGGCAGAATCTTTTAATGGAATGGCAGATGTATTGGAATAGTTACACAACCATAACTTCAAAACTTATTAATAATAATAAGGAATTTTTAAAAAATAAATGGTATTCCCCCAGCCATAAACTTACTCAGATGCTATCCNGCATTAAATTTTGGGGAAGTTTTTTCTGCACTTTCGTTAAAAATATATTATCTCTTAATAATGTCCATACTTCACAGAATATCACTGTAAATATTAATGATTTACATACTTTGCATATTTTTATCCTAATAATTTTATATTTTGTATTACTTTGTTATTACAGATGCTATCCAACCATGGTGCTTTTCACTCTTACTTGAGTAGATTCAAATACTCTCATGACCCTAATTGTACTGTTTGTGGTACACTGGATGGCAATTTGCACTACATAATAGACTGTCCAATGATGGAATTGGAAAGATTTTCTCTCAAGATTATCCTGGAGGCACACGATGTGAACTGGCCTGTATATTTTTTGTTATTTCTCATTATTACATAATTGACATTTGGCATTATATTTAACAGTATTAATTAAATGCAAGAACTTTTAATGAACATCTTTTAGAAAAACATGGGTATCTGTAAGCTGGAAAATAAAATTTAATCATCATACAAAAATATTATTAATTACTTCTCTGAATTTTCAGGAAAAATGNGATGCCTTCATTCACCTAACTGACATGTACTTCAGAAGAACCACAGTCCCTTTCTACTGATGGACGTCTCTTCTTTATTTTGTAATCCAATCCTAAATTTGTACATACACGTTTTCTTGTTCAGGTGCAGGTAGCACCTTTGCATGCCTCATACTGTGGTATGCCTCTGGTATATTCCAATTGTTTATTTTATTGTATTCCTCATTACATTGTATTTTCAACCTTATTTCTGATACCACCAGGTTATGTTTCATGGCACCGGGATGTACTATGTATATTTTTATTTTAATAAATAACTGAACTGAACTGAATACACTGTATATACATACACACCAAAATTTGAATTGTTAATATAATTAATAATACAATATTTGTGTTATTAAACACAATCTTAACATCAAACAATGCCATTATTTTACTTCATGTATACAGTTCTTATATAATTAATAATATCTAGCATTACAACAGAAAATTATACAAATAAACATTTGTATGACTTTCAATCATGTCATATGTATGATATGGACAGTTTTCAAAATTGAAATAGTATTTTCTGATTGGGAATGTGATTATTTAATCCTGTATAAAGCATAAGCATATATGTGTTTTTTTAATTTAAAAATAAGTTAGTTATAAAAATTTGTGGAAGTATTTTTTATGACAATTAATATTGAAATTTGTGATTAACAGTCCAAAATGATCCTTGGGGAGGTGAAACAGTTGGCAATGATCCTTGGAATGTTAAACCATCAAATTCAATTGCTTCTGTTAATAATGTAACAACAAATGGTGAACTAGATGATTTTGATACATTGTGTAAAAGGACAGCTATGAATTCACCAGGTCAGTGGGAACTATTCTTTCTCACTTGATTTCAGAAACAATAAAAGAAAATTTAAAGTAATTGGATCTAATAAATCAATTTTCATTTAAATGTTTGATACAAAAATCAAATGGAAATAATTTATTTTAATTGAATATAATTTATAACAGAATTTATGTTATTACACTCAGCTATTTTTTTTCAACAGATTTGACAAGTCCTCAAGAGAAGACAGAACCAGATTTATTTAATCTCTCGGGCCTTAAAGAATCTCTCTCAACCAATTCTCTCCGTCAGTCACCTACAGTATCTGAAAAACAATTAAATAATGTCTCATCCAGAAAAACGCCAGAAAGTTTTCTTGGAGCTAATTCAAGCCTTGTAAATTTGGATGCCTTGGTCAGTTCACAAAATCCTGGACAAGGTAAATTGTTTTTGTTATATTTTTGTAAAATTCAAGCTAATTCTAATCTAATAATTTAAATATTTTCTTCAGCTCCAAGTGCAAACACTAATCCATTTACACCACCAGTTTACAATCCATTTCAAGCTACAAAGCCTCCACCACCAACAATCAACCAGCTTCGTGCACAAAGTCAGTTTCCTGCATTTTCCTCACAAACTAGTTCTCACGGAATTATTTCTATTGATGAAAGAGGGACAATGTATACATCACCAATATCTCCTCCAGCTAATAACCCTTTCATATGACAAAATGGCATTGAGCCTTTATTCATTTCATGCATTTGGGCTCTCACATAAACATGATTGTAATAGTGTGCCTATCTTTCTGCAGAACAAAATGCTGCATATCTTTTCAGATTGGGATTAACTGTATTGAAAATTGAAAGACCGATTATTTACTTTACGTCTACTTGTATCAGAATGAAACTTTTCAGCAGAAGATTATTATTATTATAGCATTGTGTTAAAAAATAAATAGAAGCTTTTTATTGTATATGTTATAAAGAATATTAGTATTTTAAGTTTTTAATCTCGATTGTTAATCGATGAAATCAGAAAAGTCCTATTATGGCTGTATACTATTGTTCTTATATATGATATTCTGTAAATGCATCTGCAGATATATCAATTTGTTAATCAGTAATATCTTGATTTAGATATACAGTTTTTATTTTTTGGATGTTCCTCCTCTTTATTCATCTCGTCACTTGTTAAAAATAATCATTTGTATGAGCGATACGTTGAAAATTTGCTCGTTTAAAAATTATTTATCTATATAATTTTTTAGTTAAATCATAGATATGGGATGTATGATGGATTGGGTACATGCATGTGCAGTATAATGAAAGTAATGTGTAATTTTTGTAGAAAAATGTTTTTGGGATATAGGAATTGTTTCAAAATATTTTCCTGATTTAAAAAAGTATTTTGTGATGTCTTGCTTTTTATGTTTAAAACAAACATTCCTACATCAGTAGGTGATACTTTATCCCTTCCACCTAAACAGTTAGCTTTCTGCTTAATATAGGTGCTGATGCTCAATTAGCAAGAATAATTTTACATTATATGAAATATTTATATTTGTTTAAGATAATGTTGGCTTTTGTATACAAAAAGAAGAGACTTTTCTCAGTATTTGCTGAAGAAACTTCCGAACTTAAAGTTATTTCTTTTAACTTGAAAAAATCTGAATCTTTTGTTTATATTTAATGTTTATATAAAAACAAATAAACTAAAGCAGAATAAATTATCAAGGTGGTGCTTTGAAGTATAAAGTCTCAAATATAAAACTGTTGATTTTATACATAATTTTAAGTTGTGTAAGATGTGCAGTTGTAAATCAAAGTTCTATCACTATTTCAGTGATATCCAATACAAAAAAATATATATAAATAGAGAAATAATAATGTACAGCAAATGTAAATTACTTGAATTTACAATAATTCTACAAATATTTTATAATGACAATAAATACTTATATGAATCCATCATATCCTAAAGAATGACTGAAAATGTTATGGGTATCACTGAACTAATGCTGAACTCTGAAATTAATGAATGATAGATAAAATATATATTTTTAGTCACTGAAAAAAAAAACCTAAATTACTACAATGTATGTAATTAAAATCTGGATATATAGAAGTTAGTTATTATCTGTGAGAATTATTTGTTAAAATAATAAATTATGGACTACAAGCTATAATTTTTGGTCACATAAGTTAAGATTTAAAATATTTTATTGGAACAATTTAGTTAAAAAAAGATAATTAAAGAAAGAAAAAAAAACTTTTAACAATATTTTTACTGTATACATAATTAAGTAAATTAAAAATGTTTAGTTTTTTCAACTATAGCTATAGTCCTAAACAAGAAATATGTTTATGTAGGGTGTCTGAAAAGTTACTGAGCAGTGGGTTTTAATAAAAGTAGTTTACATATGATATTGCAATTTTTTCTAAAGCAAATGCTGGAAATGTCCTTCAGAGGCCCCAAAACCCAGGAGGATCCAGAGACCTAATGGGTGAGATTTCATAGATTATGTGATTAGCAAAGAAGTCTTCCAAATGGTATTCAAAAAACTAGAACATCTGTGAGCAAGCTATAATGCCATTTTACTGCAAAGTGGAAACACAGGACATACAACTTACAGGTCTTGTATATGCAATGCTGTACGTATAATGTTAATGTCATTATAAATTTCTCACTGCACAGTAGCTTTTCAGACACCCTATTGAAGTTTAGTTCATTGATTCATTCAACTTCTCAATGCATGCTATTATAAGATTTATTCAAAATTAACTCAGATATCTGTCATAAGCATAAAGTAAATAATTATGTTTGTATAAGATAAGATGATTATTACATATCATTGAATAGGTCTTATCTAAAATTTATCTTTAATTTCTTACTTCTACAAATTGAGTTTGTATATTAAATGAAGAAAAAAGTAGACAATATTGTGATTATGTATATAATCTTCATTGAATATACAAACATTTAATTAAAATAATACAGAGATTGATTATTTTTCACACATTAACAAATTTGTCCTTGCTTTCATTAAAAGCATTATTATATATATTATTAAATTAAATAAGTATATAAATTAATTATAATACCATATATATTTTTTAATATTAGTTAATTAAAATAATAATAATAATAAAATAGCAAGAAGAAACAGTGATGATGATAAACTAATAAATTTTAGATTGATTGTGTAATAAATAAAAAAGGAAATTATGGCCAAACATATTCCAAATGTATTTAATACTATATACATTAAGAAATAAGCAACTTACAAACTATTTTTTTATTTTTTCAGTCAGCAAATTTTTCATATAATTCTACAATGAAACTTTTTTTATTATTTTCATTCTAGTTTTCATCCACGATAAAAGGATCATTGAAAAATAAGAAAAACAAATAATTCTCCAAAGCTTTTAAATAAAGTTTGTAATTTTAAATTCATTTTTGATTGTAAATTTAATAAATACATATTGTCTGCTGCATAGATCTGAAGAGTGTAGAACATTAGTAACAGACTTTCAAAGTACTAAATAAACAGAAATGACTAGTAAAGAGTACAGAAGTAAGTGGAATTACTTAAAAATAGTAAGAAATTCATGAATGGGGAGAAAGTATCAAATATTGGTAAATAGAAAATTATGATTTAGAAATGTAAATGTGAAAAAAATCAGGGGGCCTAGTCTTAACTACTATTGGTAATATTGAAAGTTTCAGTATCCAATAGCTACAGGATGTTGCATACTCAAACATGAAACCACATGTAAGAGACTAATATTCAATATATAAGGCATATTCCCAAACAAAGGGCTGAATGGTTATTAAAACAAACACTATCAAAAATTATATTGGTTACAAACACAACTTTTTCCTTTTCCTTTATAGTCCCTATTTTTTTCCAGGCACTTTTGGTACCACGAAACATGCTTCATGTTCCCTGCATAAAATTCCACCACATGAGAGTTCAACCAGTCCAAGAAAAAACTGCTGTTTGCAACTCCAGTTTTTTCATGTGAAGATGCAAGCCACTTTAAGTGCAGGAAGATGTGATAGTTACTGGTGCAAGGTCAGTACTGTAAGAGGTTGATCAAACAGTTCCGCACTGAAGCATCTGAACAGTGCATGCAGCAGTATGTAAGTGGGCATTGTCATACAGAAGAATAATTTCTGATGTCAGAAATCCATAATGATGGTTCTGAATGGCATGTCTTGATGTAGAAAATGTTTCACAATACACCTTTATTGTGATTGTTGTTCCAGGTTTCATGAAATCCACCAAATACACCTTTTTGGTTCCAGAAAACATCTTTTGGTCAGATGGGGTTTGCTCAAACTTTTTATCTTTGGTGAATTTGAATGATACTATTTGTGTAAGAAATCCATGTTTCATCACTAGTCACAATGTGGGAAAAATTTCATCTCTCTTTCTCTGGTAGCAGTCCAAAAATGCATGTGCAGATGTCATTAAGTGATTTTGAGAATGTATCAACATTTTTGGTACTCATCTTGCACACAGTTTGATAGCCTAAGGTTTCAGTAACAGTTCGGAACAATGTTGTCTGTGAAATGTCTGAAAGTCCATGGCAAGAGCACAAATTGTGACGTGCAAATATTATTACACTTTGGCATTCACATACACAACAAAGTTGTTGGTCTGAGTGGTAGGTCTACCATTCCACTCTTCATTGTGAATATTTGTGGCCTTTCTTAAACTCACGACACCATTTTCTTACTTTTCACTCATTACTGTTTGTAGCCTTTCATACAATTCAAGGTGCATTTGCACCTTGAATTGTATGAAAGGCTACAGTAATAAAAGCAAGACCATCTTTTGCTTTCAGAAATTGAATTGTAGACTGTAATTCACAACTGACAGGATTGTTAATTTTTCACAGCCATCATTATGCACTGTAATATGCAATCAACAACTGAGTGGTGAAGTGCAGAGTACCAGTTGATACTGCTGTGTAAGCATTATCTGACCACAGTTGCCAGTCAATTTTTAAAATCATTTGGCCTTTTTTTTTTATTTATAAATCTCCTATTTACACATGGTATGACTTCAAATATGTTCATAAATCTGCTGCTGCAACAAAGTTTGGATACAGAAAATAGTTAAGACAGACCTCCAAGAGAGAGAATTAGCAAAATAACAGTAATTCGTGAAAATTTTGCTAGCTAAAAATTTCACTTAATTTCATTAATTAGTCCTTGGCAATTTAAACATAACATCAAGAAGTTAATCTGTAAATATTTTATCCTTTTTTAATTTAAATATTTATTGTTTTTTAAGCTTTGCATTTCAATTATTGGAAAATATAATTCAAAATTTGAATTTTAACTCTTTGATTGTAAATGATATTGAAAAGATTTTTTAGTAAAGATGTCATAGTAAAAAAATTTTTATTAAACAGATCTTTCAAGTATAAAAAATTTGTAAACTATTGTTGCAGAGGCTGCTTTCTATAATTTCAAAGTTAAGCATTTTAATTACTGATCATAGAAATATTTAAATTATATTTTATCTATTAAAAATGTATAAAGATATGCAAAACAATAGTTTATTTATCCTTTATTCATGTTTTTCATAGAAATGTAGAATATAGAAAACAGAATCTGACAGTTAAGTTTGAAGTATTTGGAATTTTCCAATAAAACTTTTGTGAGTTTGTCTTCAAATTGTATACCAAAATTTTGATGATGTAAATTTGAGGGTAACCTGGATCATATTCCTAATTGCGCTAAAGGTTTGCATCAAGCTGGTTATTATGTAACCTTTAAAACATTTCCCATTCAAGCTAGTTCATCTGGACAGTATTAATCCAATTTTTAAAAAAATTAAATTAAAAAAGTCAATTGCGTGATTGTAACATCTCAATGCCACTCTGATAAAGGTCATTTTTTATTTTGGTATTCAATTTTTTTGAATCTGCTGATACAACTTCCAAACTTAACAGAACATAACCATAAAGATGTGAATACAGTGTGAAGAGTCAGACTCAAAAAAGTCTAGTACCAAAGTAAGAAATGGCATTAAGATGTTATAATGTAACATGATATTGGAACTTTGTGTTATAATTATCCTTTTGCCTCATTTGATCATTTAACTGTAGATTTGGTTACATTGTTGAAGGTTTTCTGTATATTACAAATTACTTATTTTTATTTAACTGTACTAACTTGAATTAATCTTTTTCTAAGCAAAGCCTGTTAATTTGATAAAATTGCCAGGACAATAATTGTAAAATTAATAAACAATTTAAGACTATACAATGACGAGCCTTTGATGTCCTTTCCGACACCTCGGAAAATAAGTCTACGGCAGAGTTTATCTTTTATTAGAGGCTGCTCGTCCACCTCGCTACGAAAAAACGTTACAGGACTTCCTTCCGACATTAAAAGATTTGTTATTGTATAGTCTTAAATTGTTTATTAATTTTTCTATTAATTAAATTTGAATGTTGTTACTTTAAAATTAGTTATTTAATTTTATTATTTTATTTAATCAGAATTTATTTAAGTTAAAATAGTCAAAAAATTGCTGGTGAAACTAGGAATAAAATTAATTTTAAATCTTATAAAATATAGGTTTTGCTCTTTCAGTATTCTAAGACTTTGAGTTAAAAGGCAAAAGAATAAACAAAAATAATGGAAAAATGAGTGAGTTCAAGATTTAAAAGAATGGAAGAGCATAATAGATATTTGTGATAGATGTGATGTGATAATAGATATTAGTGTGCAATTACTTGAAATGGCCTTAATAGGTGTAAGTGTTAAGTTATGAATTTTTTTTAATATTTTAAAACATATATATTTGTGAAGTGAGTCAGGAAAGATGACTATTGATAGAAATGATAATTTAACAAATTCTTGGTGGATCACTGACAGTGGATATCTTCATTCTCTCAGCTTATTTACAAACAAATGAGTGAAAGTACACATCCCTCTTTATGTATTCCATATGAATTGTAAAATAAGCAGCAACTTAAAAACAAGTTTTTATATTGAATGATGAGTCATAGGAAAAGATTATAGTAGCAGATCTGATAAATTATTACACTGATAACAAT